CGGAGGAGGAGGAGCCGACGGCGATGTCGAGGCAGCTTCGCGTTGAACGGGACCACGTGAGCCGTTGCGACCTCCGCGACCTTCGGGACCTGCGCGACATCAGGGACCTTCGGGATCTCAGGGACCTCCGGGACGTTCGGGACGTTAGGGACGACAGGGAGAGACACGGTTCCGGGAGACACCATCGGGACGAGTACCTGGATTACGATCACCATCCCACCGCTGCATCCACCTCGGCACTCACCAACAACCCGGTGAGTCTGTTATCTGAATATGTCCCTTTGATTGATGGAGTGCTTCGATGCTGTCCATGCTGAGGAATCTGCGAGATTCGTTAATTGAGTGCGTTCCTCTGATTTTGACATTACCGTATCTCCCCACGAGACTCCACGAATTGAGACGAGTCCACTTTTCTTGTTTTCTCATCTAACCATTCCTCCCAAAAATATGAAGCTTCTCCCTTTAGCCAATAACACCTGCATTTTTATTAATATACCAGGGTTTATCTCGTGGCGAAATGTAGGTCCTCCAACACGTGGAACATCCACAAAAACCCTAGTTAAAAGCTAGTGAAAAGATTTTGATGAAACTCGGAGAAATATTTAAGACACGGCTTTCTCAGCGATCTGTATCTAAGAGATGAGCCGAAAATAAGGGAAGAGAAATTGGCGACTAAATTTTTCATTTTCAATCTGAAGAGATATTTTCATCTCCAAGTACGAAACTACGGATGAAGTTTTGTCGTTTCTAAATGGCCGGGTAATTAATCATTCTCTTCCTTGCGTTACTCCGCTGACGAACTAAAGTTTCGCTGAAATCAGATGGAAACACTTGGCTAATATCCCTTATTAGAAAACTTTTGCTCCGCTTGTCACGACAGAATAATGCTGTATTAATGTGTACAAGTTTCGAGTTAATGAAGATGATTGATTCGTAAATGGAAGAGGTTAATTTCTAACCATCCCTCCATGGACAGCACCGTGACATGTAGAGGTAATAAACGATAGATATGGGGTAGGTTCGACAAAGTTTGGACACAGTGCGACAGAAAGCAAGCAAAAGGACGTCACAAAGGGGTGGGTTGTTTAATTCCGTCTCGAGGTCAAGGTTTCGTGAGGTGACGGAAGACTGCGGTTATCAGACGGGCCGTATGTCGAATTCAATAAAGTTACATTGCGTAGATAATTCATGAAAGAGAACGCAAGATGAATTGCAGACAATAATTCACACTGTGAATACATGTATATCGATGCACATCTACATGGTGCTACAAATATGATCTATTCTCACAAGGACAAATTGTGTTTATTCTTTTACGACGAATAATTTTTGAATTTCTACTAAAAGACAATAATAAATCATTGAACTAAAGATTATTTCTAATTTGCTGATCCTGGCGCGAACTTAGTCGAAACATAAAGAAGCAATACGAAACAGTTGAAAGCTATTTGTTTCGTAGAAATTCATGCTCCTGCATTTCTCGGAGACATTTCTATTTTATTGTTGCGCTATTGGGAACAGAGAGGGTGATGGATGTTGCGCAACGTGTTGTCAGGTATGAAAATCTCAGAGAGCATTATTCACGTATACCAGAAGCTTCGCATAAAGCTTGGAAAGCGAAGAAAAGAGAAGTCTCGAGTCGCCATCGTGCTGGGTCTGTTTGAAATATTCCTCTTTAATATTTCGCCCACTCTGTATTGCGTAACGTTATACTCGATCGACAGAAATTCTATTTTCTATATCGAGTACGATTCGATACTAAATTTATCATAATTTATACCATCGAAGGTATTACGTACTCGTCGTTTGCGCAACGCCACGCAATAATCCGTCGAATGCAAATATTGACCCGCCCAATTGCTGCTCGTGTTAATTTATCGTTCGTAGATAAATAGAAGAAAAATAGAGCGTGGAAGAATATTATGTTGCGGTGGAATATAGACAGAGATTTCGCCAAAACTCATACAGGTATCACTTTTTCAAGATATCGTGAGGGGGCATAGGGACACTAATAGACTATATAATACAATACAGATGATATTTTTTCTAATGAACGAGATTAGTACATACCGTCGAATTCTTTGTTGCATAATGATACGTTTGTGTATCTAGTTAAATACTTATTAATTCAGAAAACTATTTTGCCAAAACTCATACAGGTATCACTTATTTTCAAGATATCGTGAAAACTTGGGAGCATAGGGAAATTAATGCTTGTAGACTATATAATACAACATAGATGATGTTTTTTTTAATGAACGAGATTAGTACATACCGTCGAATTCTTTGTTGCATAATGATACGTTTGTGTATCTAGTTAAATACTTATTAATTCAGAAAACTATTATAATAATTGCAGTTTGCATATGACTGACCTACGTAATACGTAGCGGAAAGAATTCCAGGGAACTGGTTCAGTAGAGTGGAAAGTCTATCCGGCTTGCTCCAGAAAGAATTGAATACCACAGGAACGAACGGTTGAACGAAAGAAAATGAAAGATGGACGACGCGTCTGATCAAAGCGTGCTCCCGTTGCTCGTCCTCCCTGATACCCACGCTACCCTACGTGACCACGGTCTTCATTTAGCTCTTCTGCATCTTTCATAGGGGCTAGTTCGTAGAAACGAAGACCGCAGCATGGTCGGTGCCTCTCATTTGCAGCTGCATTCACCGGCTGGGCTGGCTTTTCTTGCCGACGCAATCGCGCATCCTCTCGAGGGTCAGAAGTGCTAATGAGACAGACGCGAGAGATGATGGGGTAGAAAATGGAATCGAGCCTCTTTGGAACGCTTCTTTTTTAGCACGGTGAACAGTGGCGTGATGCACACAGGAGAGACACAGGAAACTGGGCCACGTTTTGTTCGCCAAGGTCGATCTGAAAAGATTTTAATAGCGTTACTCGGTTGTGCCCGGTCCCAACACGAGGACGACCAAGTGTCGTTCAAGCAACGCTGCACTCGTTCCCGACAACGAGTTTCGGAAGTTTTTAATTATCCTGCATAATACCGATTCGAAGGTACTTCTGCGAGGAACGCTTTGTTAGACATTCTGGTTTCATCACATTTGATGTTGTTAAATGACAATCTGGAGCATCATTCGAGTTCGAGTTATTTGCTTGGTTTATTCAGAGAGATTAACAGGAAGTTCAGAAATCAAGGGAAGGGAAATTGCGGAAATTTTCCACTGCTATTTGAGAGCTTGCAAATTTTCGCGAAGTTAAAACAGTTCAAACAGTTTCTTCGTTACAAGGTTCCCATGTAGAAGTCCTGAAGATTATCACGACAACTATTTCAGTCCTGCAGAATATTCCCAGCACCAAAATCTGAAATTTCAAGTATTTCAAAGTTGCAACCCTATCGAAGAAAACTTGAAAGTTCCAATAACTAAGAACTCGAAAATTCCAAATTTCCAAGACTCCACTTGAAAAAATAAAATTTTCCTTTGCTCTGAACTCGGTAAGGCACCCTACCTGTGAAGCATAAATATTTTAAAGTGGAGAGCTAGTGCTACCAATTGCAAGCTGTCAGTGTCGTTTACAACAGAGAATTCCTTCAAAAAATCTGCAAGGATTAATTGTAGCAGGTGCAGAAGCATTAAGGAGACACTAATGAATTGTATTACATTGCAAGCTGTCCGCGCACGAACGATGATGCAAGAAAATCAACCTGGACACACACAGGACTGATTTATTCGTCTACTTTCCATTCGGTATGGAAATCAGTTTACAACATGTTGCTCATTACGCGTGCCAGTTCACTCGAAAACAGACTCGTTTAACGTCCAGAATTATTATCGTTTACGAAACACCAAATATTTGCATTACCTGTAATCGTTCTGTTGCCACCTCGGTGACGCGTTGACAACGTTAACAATCCTCCATTTTTCACTGCGTTGACAATAAACAGCGTGTCTCGTATCGAAATCGATTTGTCTGTAAAGATGAAATTTTTATATCGTTAATGTAATATGATATAAAATGTGAAAATTTGAATTGCAAAATTGTGTGATTATATGTTGAACTTATATTTTACCACATACATGCACTATGATTATGGCGTTATTATCATTAAAATTTTTCTTTCAATTATTCTATTATTATTGCATACGTAGCACTGATAAATTGTGTTCATTAATATTAATGCCTTTATCCCTAGTAATTATAGGTTTTGTAATGCATATTTTTTATTGCTAAGATCAATTTATACCGTTACAAAGTTTCTTTTAATCGTTGCATTATATATATGTTCATGTCCATACCAGCGAACGTGTTAATCGATATTCTTAAACACGTTTCGGTATCAATCACCAAAGTATTTATCACCTGGGGTCCCCTCTCTTATCTCGATCACGATTCGTCCATGTTGCACGCTTTATAATCGTACACCTCTATAATCATGCAAATCACCGGGCGTGCGTTAAAACGCAACTATATAACTATCGGTCTCGATAATCGCGCGAACTTAATCGAGACCTTCCTGCCTCCGTGTGTGCAGTCCAATTATCGATCGTTTCTCATTGCCAGAATGTAACGGTGTTCGCAAAGTAAACGATTCATCGCTTCTCGTGAAAAGTGAAAATCATTTTCGACATTTATTTATCATGCACTTTTACTCGAAAAATCACAAGTGGAATCGGATAATGAATTAATCGATCGGTCACAAAATCTCCGGAGCTTGATTGGAAGCGCAGGTTGATGCGCCAGCCGTGCAACGAATGCAAATAAAGTTTTGCATATTTATGGAATCGTGCATCGATATATTCGTGTTCGAGCCACAATTGCACGCTATTATTTACTCTCGCTGTTTTCCACTCGATTGTTAGTTCATGCAATGGAGTGCTACCATAGAATATAATTTTCGATTTTGTGTGTAGAGAGTGTATACCGTCTGTGCGCGTTTTGATTATTAATCCTTCGTGCGGGAGACTCGTTATGTGAGAGGAACATTCTTGTAGTTGGGTGTACGATATGACGATATCTAACGTGTTTATAACCGAAGGATTGACATCTAATGCGTCGAAATCTAATTTGCCGTCATCCAATATGTAAATTGACGCGTCGATATTCAGCGGGTCGATATGCAACGCGACGATATCCAACACTCCGATAAGGGGTTGATATACAATTCGTTGAATTTCATCCATATTCAATCTGTCGAAATTCAATTCATAGTTGAATTTGTTGATATAACATGTTGAAATTCAATGCATTGCTATGCACAGGTGAATGTGTAATACATGTTTGAAAAATCGGTTTGCAACCCGATGATATCGTTCTCCAAGTTGATATCCAATGTGTCAAAATTGAACCCGTCAAAACTGCGTCGATATCTAGCGGGTCTATATGCAACGCGCCGATATCCAGCGGATCTATATGCAACGCGACGATATCCAGCGGGTCTATATGCAACGCGCCGATATCCAACACCCCGATAACAAGTCAGCATACATTTTGTTGAATTTCATCCATGTTCAATCCATCGAAATTCAATTCATAGTTGAATTCCTTAATATCTAATATGTTGAAATTCAATGCATCGCACAGGTGAATGTGTAACATATGTGTATAAAACCGGTTTGCAACCCGCTATCTCCAAGTTGATATCCAATGCGTCAAAATTGAACCCAACATTCGATATTCAACGGGTCGATACGTAACGCGTCGCTGTCCAACGAGCCGATATCCAATTTGTCGATATCCATTGCAATCCACCATTGAACCTTTGGCCCATAAATGGAAATCCTGTGATGTATCATAAAAATCATGTTTACCAATCCACTACAGTGGTTAAACAAAATAAAAACTCATTTATCTTGATATCTGTACAGTAATTTGATCTCCCGTCGCCGGAAATGAAGTTTGTCGAGATCCAGTGTCCGCTCGTTTTCCGATATTGTGTACAATGAAAGCCGTTGCAGAATCCGAAGATGTCCCCATGTGTACAGGCCAGAAAATCGATCAAGTTTTCCTTGGTGATGTTTCAATCCGGGTTATAAGACCCGTGACAAGGATGATCCTTGCTTGACCCAGATCGAGTACGGTTATATCCTGTCGCCCCGAGTGTCCCAGGACGAAACTGAAAATCAAGGCTCGGTATGGAAAGCGAGGCGAAAAATTGCTGTTTGAATCGAGATACCCGCTGGCCCCGTTTCTACGGCGCCTCCTCGTTCATTTCAAAGCGTGTAATATCTTTCTCGTCGTAAACGTTGAATCGTTGTGGATATCTGTCGTTGTTACGAACTTGTATGCCACGGGCGAAAGGAACACGGGGTTGTCTCGTATTATGCTTTGAAAATGCTCGCTCGCAACGCACGTGGACTATAACTCACCGCTTTTTTTCATTAAACTTGCACGGGTAACCGTTAAGAAAAACGATGCTCCGGCTTGCTGGAAAATGAGAAACTCGCGGCTGAACTAACGACCAGTAACGCAGGATACTTTGAACTTTACAAAAACAAATTGTTCAAAGTTGCGTAAATTTGTTAAGCTGAAGACGAGTTATTAACGCCAGAGAGGATTATGCAGGCGGGAATTTAACTCTTTCGTTAACACAATATCAAAAAGATATTCATACAGAACTATACTTGCAAATAATAAGGTAATCAGTCACCAACCTTGTATATGTTACTGTAGGTAACTTTTATATGTTCTTTGTACACAAACAGAAATTTCAGTCTTTTTAAATATTGCATTTGCGAAATGCGTCATCCGGGGATGATTCTGAAAGTATATTTTTTGAACCACTTCCTCTAACATGTTCTGCATTCAGAAAAAAGTGTAACTCAATTTCGCCAAGGTCCTTCAGAATAAAACGAAAATACAAGTTCCATTACTATGTTTTTCAAACGAACCTCAAAAACCTTCATTACCAAAATGAAAGCTGTATGCGCTTGTCGCATGAATTAGAGTAGATCTTTAAAACGTGACAATTCTAAGAATCAGCACCCACGCTCCGTTCGATCAGCAGATCAGATCTGGGCAGCGTCTGGGATCGATTATCGCGCACCAGATAGTCTTCGAAGTGCGTCACACGCTAAAAGATTCAGCAGCGGCTGCCACGTAAATAGCCTGTGCAGCCTCTGCAGGCTGCATCGATCTAACTGCATCATTCGATGCAACTAGGCACGCGTAGTCGTGGAGTTAAGGGGAAACACCGCGATAAATTTTCTGGCGGTAGAAAAAGCGTTTCATCCTCGTCTCGGTGCACGCGGTGGCGTCGATCGATATCAGCTCGACGCGTGTAGGCAAACGTCGAGCTCGAGTGCCGGCGGAGTTC